TAAGGTCTCGTTTAAGGTAAGTCATTTGGCCAATAACCTGTCAGCTGATAATGAGAGCGAATGAAATTTAGACGATCCAGGCCAGTGGGCTAGCAGCCGAGGTTTAAGAAACAATGCCGTGATTCGAAGTTCCATAATTTTTGTTAGTTTCCAGCATTGTAATAAGCAAAACACTTTGGTATGAAGAAGAGACTCAGCAGTAACAAGACAGTGAGGTTCAGAGATTTTCTCGTGTTACATTTCTCATTTCCAATATGGATCGCATTGATGCGTATCGGACTCAATCAGCCAAATGTGACTATAGTCGATTTGTCCCTAAAACATGTATCTGTCAGATGATATTGTATACCGTACACTGGCGTAACGAGAATTAAAAAAACCCAACCGTCGAGCGGAGCGGAGAAATAAATCTTTCATATGAAGAAATGATTGCACACCACAGGGACGTGGAAAATTGGTGCGAGACACTTGGAGCTATTGATGATGGGCCCGTTCTATACAAGCGTAACTGTCCACCTGGCGAGATACCTCACATGATTAAAGTGTGAATTTACTGTCCAGAAGTTTCGTGGTTCCAACCCGACCTCCGCCTCTCGGCTTCCCCTATCTAGGCTGGGGCAACCTGGCAGTATCACAGCCTCCTTGCTTCCATCGGGTAGCATGGTAGCTAGACACCAGAAGGGTGTTACAGCTGAAACAAGTCCACCTAATTCAATTTTCTCGACCAGCCAAGAAAGGGGTCATCAGTAATTTCTGGAACTCGCAAGGGATTCCCTGTGCGACTGGTTTTCTGGGGTGGACTGTGGACCAGGATTGTTATAGATCAGAAATCCTAATCGGTTAAAAATCCAGAAGCGAAAAAAACGTTCATTCATCGTTGTTAGTGAACGACTTAACTGGAGTTGCAAACACAAGAAAGCTATTGGTACATCTCTTGAACCGTGTCGAGAATTTCTGTCAAACTGCTCTCGCATTTCAGTGATTATGAGTGAATTTCAAAAAGTGCTTCCTGTGGGCGAGGGATGCTCTTTTATTCATGGGATAAACATCAGGGATTTAGAGGAGAATACTGATTTGCAGTTTTCTTTTCATCTGATTCAGCTTCCACTCTGCATCCTACTTTCAATTTGGTCGGCTGTCTTGGTCACGTTCCCGCATTTACATCATGCCGGCGAAACAGCCCTCCGAGTTCTTTACGTCATTTGGGTTTGTCTACTGTGGTTCAGTTTGAGCGGTGTGTTCACCATCATGCCATCGGCAACCGCGACATTATTTGGTCAGAAGAACGTTGCGATAAACTACGGAGTTGTGTACAGTGCATTCGTAAGTGATCAATACGCGTGCTTGGTTGCCACCATTTTGTGCGTCCTATATTGTCTTCTTCCTGTCTTTATCTAGTCTGTGGGAAGCTTGTTGTGCGGTATCTTCCAAACCTTCCTCCCCGAACAGACCTACGTGGTCCAGTTTTCAGCGTGTTTTGCACTGGTATTTACGGGTAAGTGAATGGTGAATTCATGATATTCGGATGATGGACTTGGGTAGCTGTATTGTTGATAACCTAAGTTTTAAATCCAGAAAAATATCTGTCATATGCACTGAGTTGTTCCTTCTTCAAGTATGTGTTTAATATGTTTCTGAAAATTCTATTTTTCAGGACTGATCGTCACACTATGGGTGACGGACTCGAGAATGAGTCCCCGAATAAACATTTGCCAAAAGCTTACCGAACAATGTGGACGACTTCGTGGTCGCGACCAACAATCGGATGATTTTAGGTTGCCGACTGCGGACTGAGTGTCAGCTTGCCATACTACTCAATTTGACTGTGTATCGACTGTTTCTCACTCTCAGAAATCACTAGTACCGTGTACCAAATAAGTTTTGATAAATTATATTTAACTCCATCAAGTCTTGTGTTTGGTTGAAAGACATAAACGTCGAGAGTTCTGTGAATCATTCTTGTTCCACCTCCCAGACGGTACGCTCGTTTTCCGATCAAATAAGCACGAATCAGCACAGAAGCCGGGGAGAATAAAGTAAGCTATTTTTATTTTATGCCATGTCTTTGGGTAAGGAACTCATTTGAAGGGGTTCTTTAATTCAGAAATTTATTTAGTGTATGATCAGCTACTTAACTGGGTGAAATTGGCATTAAATCTCACATGTTTGCTGCAGCCGACATAATCGGTTCCATGGGTTATTCTACCTAAACGAGGCAAACTCTAGTCATACGTTCGATTTTCAATGTAAATTCACTTAAACTGTAACCAACAAAACACGAATAATTTTGGAGATAGCGGTGAACTCAGCTCTTTTAGAAGGGAGATGGTTAAGCAAGGTCCCAAACCTTCAAGTTTGAAGAATTTATCCACAGAAAAGTCATACCGAAGTAATTTGGGTTCTTGAAAATTCTTCGACCTTATGAGTAGTGAATTGCGAATATACATGCATCGCGATATCTTGAATATCAAACGGACTATGAGGTGGCCTGGTGAGGCACATTCCAGTTGCCTGGAAACATCACAAACGAGACATTCAGCCGGGTTCCAGGTGAGTGTCTCGCAAAACCAAATTTGTTTGCAAATGAGTGTATTTCGCCCATTCGGGTTTCGTTTAAGGAAAACGGTAGGTATTTCCTAAGTATACCTGTAGTGGTTATTCAGAATCGAGCTGCCTGATACCACGCTTGGTCTTGGTGTGGGTTACAGAATTTAAGTGCTAGTACTGTTCACTTAAAACAAGTGCGATTTAAGTGTTCTGTTGCCAAAGGAATTTCACCGCAATTGACGTACCATACCAGTACACTAGTACGCACAGTCGAATGGTGGCCATCAGATACTGGTAACGGCCGGGTAAGCTAATGGTAATATTTTGAAAAAGTTGAGTGAAATCCATTTGTGGGATAAAATAATCATGCAGAAATATAAATTTACTGGAACATTGCATCAACCTCGAAATTATTCTTATGTGTTTCTATATGTCTTTGTCTAATCAGATTACAGCCATTGCTCATCTTCGAGAAAATATACTCAGAAAGGCCGGATTCTCCAACTTTACTACGGAAAAGATCGTCATTTGACAGTAGTTAACTGATAGCAGTATGCTCCAAAATCGATCCTAGCTTGCTTCAAATCAAAGGTTTGTTAGTTAGGCTTAAGTTTCTTGTCAAGTCCGTTCTGACGCACCCCAACGAATGGTAGGCTTTGAAAATATAATTTAGGACTTGGGTGCAATTATTTTTCCCAGTAATGAGAACATTAACCAGTTGTGGCAAAATCAATATAAGCAGTGAAACATTAGACCAACGTACCTGTTTATGACCCCCGAGACTTCTTAATATTGAAATACTCCACAAAACCTATCTTTGTAATGAACATGTAAAAATATCACTGTGAATGCGTGGGTTCGTACCTCCAGAATGTTTATCGTTATTTTGCGAACGTCAGCCCCCACTTTCTGACATTATCCAAAACGTCCACGTTTTACTACCAAAAACTCTCATAACTCAAGATCTGACCTTAGGTTTTGGTACATAACTAAGCACTGGTATTCCGAGAAATATTCATGTATCAACCAGTCCTGCATAGTCGTCTTCGTTGTGTGGGATTATCCAAACAAACGGATTTCTGACTCATTTTCTTCAAAGTGATTAAAATTGTCCAGGAAAAGCAAAATAATGCAACCACAGTTTTTAACGTAAACGGAGATCCCCGAGGAATACACTCATTTGCAAATCAACTTAGTTTTCACGCGAGACTCAACTGAATCTCTCGTTTATGATGTTCTACGACCGAATATGCTGCACGCAGACCTGTTCATGTTTCAGTTGGCATGATATTCGAGATACGACCGTATATTTTCATAAAGGAAACCATCCATAAGTTTGCTGGAAACTCTTCGACAGGTTCAAGTAGAACATAAGGTTGACGGAAACTCGGGAACCACGCCTACCTGATAAGTCCCACGAAGGGCGAAACCGGTCATGGGCTGTCGAAGAGTTTTCAGCAACCTTGTGAGTAATTTCTGTTATTAATCCTCATTAGCAGAGACATCATCATTAGCTTTATCAGTGCTGTTTCACTGCCGTACAACCACAAGATTTACTTAATTTTACCTAAAGCCTTATAATGAACAGCAAGAAGAAGGGTGGGTAAAGAATGGACATGGTGATAGCCCGACTTCAATCAATCCTGGAGGCATGCACCTTCAGAAGTGCAATCAGACCATATAAGGAGGTGAAAGCACGAAATCCACTGATATTGATCAGGCAATATTTCTTCCAGCCTCCAGGCAGCCAAAAGGGTGTCATTGTGATCCCATTCTAAAAGGCGTACTGCACTAGCACACCGGAACTCTTCATCGCTTTCACATTATTCTACCGAGTCATAGCTCTGCACTACGCTGTTTACTCCATTTTGAAGCAGACTTGGAGTACAACGCCCGTCTTGGTAGACAGTGTTTCGGCATGCATTACACATGACCGAGCCATCATGTTTGATTTTGCTCTGTTTTCCACTACTAAAATACCTGAAGAACAACCAAATACCCGTTTTCTAATCACCTGGTTCCGAATTCCTCGACACCATCCAACACCACCAACGCTTCTGAGGTGGCCAAAAACCTGGAGACGCTTTACATCGTCTATCTATAGAGACCATGTTTTACAACCAGGTAATGACAAATTGACGCGAACGTGATTCGGGCTTTGAGATTGGTGCGCTGAATTCGTCAGGCACATTTCCGTCAGAGTTAATACAACCACAGAGTGACGTGAAATTCTACACAATCTCCAGTACTTGTTTTTGAAATTGTACGGGGCGCGGTCAAAGATTGTACGTTCTGAAGCATGACTCTGCACTGTTAATGTACAAGGCGAATGTCAAAAGATGTTATGATGGTGGCCAGTTTGCTAGACTTTACTTGTGGTTGGGCTTTCTTTTCAGAAATGAGGACGATGTCGTCTGTGCACTCCAAAAGACAAAGTTTTCACCAGTAACAATATGAACAGTGGGGTTTTTATGACATTTTCGAGATTGCCCTATTGTTTCACCGACGACGAGATTGAAAAAAAATGGAGAAACTGGATATCCTTGTCGGGAAGCTTTTGGAAAGATCACCATACACTCACACGTCCGGAAGTATGTAAATATGAGGACCTGAATATGTTCACAAAATTTCGGGGCTTGCCTGTTGGGCTGATTGATCGGTATTCTAGTGTGACCCAGACCAGACGGTCGGTTTACGTCTGGTTTATATTTTTGCAATAACCAGGTGTATTTGTCAGCTAGTCTTGAGCTCATGGTACATCTTTAACCCCTGAATCAGCGAAGCTACACACCAATGGACAAACAAACATTGTGCGCATGTCAGTAACGCAGTATAAATTCGGATGCATTGCTCCATGGAAGTCTTCATTAGGATTTTAATTCCCAGGTAACCCGGTTTCAGTTAAGCCGATGTCAGTTTGCCGCATACGAGCAAAGCAAATGTTTTACTGATGAATCTGGAGTGAAAGCCGGTAATGCCCAAAGATTATTTCAGTTGATCCGTGCGGCCGGTCCCCGGAAACCACCTGTGAGCGAAACCATCAAGCATCAGAATGGAACGACCATCTCGAACAAAGAAGAACGCCTCGACCGGTGGGCTGAATNTCGAATTTTCTCGGTTCGATACTAGTCGTCATACATATTTAATGTTTGATTTAGTGCAGAATTCCCGAACCAGTACTGATTCAGATTACTCGGTCAAAAGCGGATCCTTACTTGACAAACTCGTTGCGAGTAGCATTATTCTCACTTGCTGTGGTGCGAATGAATTTCACCTATCCTTACAACTAATAAAACCGCTCTTTGAAAGGGAGAATACCCTATGGCGATATTTCGTGTAGCATCTCCTCTGGTCAACTTCTTTGAGCTGTTCATATCTTGGACTGCACTGAAAAATGAGATCATTTAAAAGATACCCATGGGTTTGGTTTGTTCATACTGTGTTGGATCCGTGCAGATTACGATGGCAGAACAATCTTCAACAATTTTTCTATGCGAACTTCAAGATGGAAAACCACGCTTGGAAGACCTAAAAGGTGTAGTTTCCACTGCTCCACTTAAATTTGTCTTAATATTGTGATTTGCCACCAGCTGATGTGCACTAGAAGCGGTGAAAAGAGTGCGGTCCCTCTGAGCATTAAAAATATCTCACGAAAAAAGTTGGGTTACGGCTTTTCGAATCTGTAGGGACTTTGTATACTCAGTCCTGGCATTGCTCAACTTCAAGTCATACAGAAGTTGAATTCCTGCTTTATCATGAAGGTCTATAGCTCTACCACTTAGTAGTTGTCCAGATGGCAGAAAATGGACATGCGTTCCTCGGAAAATCAGTAATCCGCAAGCCACTCTAAACAGCAAGCTCTTGACCGATATAGTAAAAACTTATTCTAACAAAACATTGGAAAAAACTTGAAAACACAGCACTATCTTGCAGGACATTTGCTGCCCCAAAGACATCATCAAACAGTACGGAAAGACCGCTTCACAGAAGAATAAACAGAAAGTAATCAATAGAAAACTGTTTTGACGACAAGCACGCCCAAATGGGGCCAAATTGACTGACGAAAGTGGCAAGCACTAAGTTCAATTAGCACAAAGATTTCAAAGCTACAGGTTTAGTACTGTCCCACAAAACAACGAAAAACAAAACCACGGTGACTACCAGCACAAACCAGACTCTGTGGATGCTCCCCTGTATGCGTTATTTGCCCTCGCGGACGTCTTCAGGTGTTCGACAATCGTTGGCTCAGAACCATAGCTCGTGTGGTTTGGTATCGGCGAATCCGTAACGAGGCAGTTTCAAAGCGTGTTTTCGGTTGTGTAACAGTTCAACGCAATCGCATCAGAACAACTAAGCCCTATTGGGATTTGATGAAGCGGTGGTGATTCAATACTACAGACGTAACACGTGTGGATAACTAGAAGTTTTGTGCATTGCCTTACCTTGTATTGGTAAGGCCGGCATTAAATCATGTCTGAAACTCTAGGAATTGTGTCCAAACGGATTCAGGATCTCATTAAATTTTTTTCCCGTAATATCTACTCTGACCTGTGAGCTTATCTGTCAGAGTACCTGCCCGATATTCGGACATAACCGTAATTCCGAATACGCCTAAACAGCCGATGAGATATGCCGAATGGTTATAATAAACTTGCCTTGCTGCAGTGGCCTTTCTTGTTTTCATGAAACCCGTTTAGAGCCATTTAGATTCTGATTTGCGGAACATGAACCACACAACGTTCAAAGCAGGTAAAGTGAAAGGCATATGTACTTTCGTCCTGGAGAACGGAAAAAATGTCTTTTGTTTTATATTCCCCTGTATACTAGTATTTCAAAGTCATTCACATTTTCCAATTCGCTTTCTCCTTCACAGTTGTAATATGTTTGTTCTTGGTAGACATTCATTCAAAAGCCTACTGTCATTGGCTCTCTACCTGACAAACAGAGACCCTGCAAGCTGAACTTTGAGAATTTGAGTAAACTGGTGAGGTTTAACCGACTTGGATTCCTTTCGGTAAACGATGAATTCGACTTTGGATAGTCATACACAGTGAAACTACAACGAAAAATGTGACACTGTGCTAAACACGCACTACAATACTGGGGCACCGTAACACTCTTGCAAGAGGAGCAAGAATGTCAACCATTCATCCGTACTTGCTCCGGTAAATTCTTCCGAGACTTTGGAAGACCACGTTAGGCGAGAACTCTCAGAGGCTCTCAAAACACACTAGCCTGGATCCCGTTTTAATAATCCAATTACTTGGCTGTGTCTGGAAATTCATATCCGGAAAAGTAAATTGCTTCTCACATTGGTATATATATGTATATACTGACAGAGATTCCGTCCTGTAATTAAAGCCAATCTGTGCTGAAATACCGATAACCACTGTACATGTGTTTCATCCTTATTAAAAATTATCAGCAGTGAGTGAAACTTCTTTCTGATGAGTCGTTTCTCGATGAACCAATCAACACCTGTGACAATGCAACGTTGATCCCATGGTTGAAGGATAGGTGGTGCTATATCCTGTCTAAGTACGAGTTAATCACACTGCTGATGAGCCGCTCGTGACCGGAAGCCTAAGATTTCCAGCTTGTGGCCGCGTGGTCGTGGGTTCGACACTCTCTTCAGTTTCGTGAGATGTGCACTGTTAATGGTTCGCGTGGATAAAACAGCTGTACAGTGCTTCTTCTTTGCTTTTCAGCATAGACTGGCATAGACGGGTGAAATCTCTGCAGAAATTTACACATCTCTTCATACTATTAACACTATATATGTATATATTTATATTTATACTAACGTGTATGCCTTGTATAAGTGTGTACCGCGAGAAACAATAAACATAGAATGGGGTCGATGTCAAAAATTCGGTAAATAGTTGGAAACAGTTCATAAATATTAACAAACCGTTCTTTTGAAAAGGAAATACAATTGGATTAAATATTACGCTGAAACATGAACTCAGAACTAGACTCAGCACCGGAAACCCTAGCAACTGTTCGGTTCTGAACTGAAGCGCGAAAAGTCGAACTCAGATTGCACTGAAAATTTGGCATGCGGTTCAATATATAAATACTGAATTTTTGGATGCAATGACTAGCTTGTAAACGGCGATGCATGATAGTAGTTTACGGGCCATAGGTATTGAGGGTGACTTATGGAATGTGGTTTCAGGTGATTTAAATGTAATAGATGGATGAAAAACCACGTTCTAATAATATTGCTCCTGGCTCTGATCAGGTGATTTGATCTGACTGATCGACCGTCAGCTTTGTCTCCTAAACCTGGCGTCGGCTTCAGTTCGCACACTGAAGCTTACAGTATTTTTATGGGTCGCAGATGTCATGAGGAAATATACAAGGAACGATTTGCAGGCAAATATAGCCTGAAAGATTATAGAATCGGCTCAAAAGTTGATAGAATAACGTGTTAAGAAATTACAAATTGAACAAAACCTACGACTATAGACAGGAAAAATCGCGTACTTTAGGGTATTTGCTTATACATGGCAGTAGTTAAGAAGCTGCTTGATATAATGATTCTAATTAAAAAGCCTTGTCAAACACGGGAAATGTTGCAACGCCCTCCCAACTGTACTACACTGTTCCCCTCGGTTTTAGGCTAACGCACCTGCTCTCAAGAGAGCAAATAACATGCACAAACAGAGTGAAGAGATTAGCAATCTGAGTCTGGTAAGCTTAAGCGCATGTATAAAATAATGTTAGCCATAAACTTAGTAAGGTAAATTTGTACGCACTTTGTCAAAACCATTCGAATGAATGCTTGCAATTTCCAATGATAGATTAGTTGCGTTGAAAGTCTTCTACAAATAAATCGGTTCACAGAAAATACAGCATCTACAGGCCTTTTTAAAGGAGATTCTCTTGAGGGGTAGCGCTATTTCTAGCACCTTTTGTTTACTGGTTTTCAGTGCGCAAAGTACCAGAGAAAACAGAATTATCGGTAGTTTTGTAACTTGTTTCTAGTCGTAGAGTATGAGAGACCATACTTGCCTCAATGAGGTTTCAGGAATAAAACGATGTAAATTTCTTTCCGTCTGCAATTATTGTATAAATGTTCCGTCACTGTCTTCATTGAAATGTCTGTTAAATTCGTTAACAGTGCGTCGACTTTGAGCATTCCTTAGAAGTCACTTTAGATCTGCTGTTGATTCGCAGCTGTCGCTTCATCCAATGGATCTGAAAATTACAGGTGAGAATATTGGGATTTGACTCGCTTCACAATTTTCAACTGCTGGCATCTGAATCACGCACCACCGAAAGATAAGCACAGACCCTTACAGAAAATACTCCGTAGATTTGCAAGCACTTGGCCTTGTAAATCGCAAGGTCTCCAAATGCATCAGTAAAGGCGCGAACTCTCTGAATCCCCAATTAGTTTATGCACGATACCGGCCATTCTGCTCTCATTGGAAGTGCTTTAAATCAATCTATTGTTGGATGGAGCATTAGAATAATGAGGACTTTAGAAACATCAACTATCAATGTGGTTTGGAGGTACGTCAAACAATCAGTTTTATTCAAGGATGTCTGGAGTTCACTATCAATGTGGTTTGGAGGTACGTCAAACAGTTTTATTCAAAGATGTCTGGAGTTCATCTACTCTGGCTGAAGAGTTTTTGGTGCCACTTAGTAGCCGCGGCTGTGAGGTTTCGGACGAAAACGCTTCCCGTCCGGTTTCGCTTATCCCTAGACTGTATACGTACCTGAATGTACGGCAGAAAACCATAAGTATTGAACACTGATATCATGTTGTCGATAATGATGATGATGATGATGATGATGATGATACATACCTAGAATTCTCCTTGGTGAGGTTTACTGACAATGTTAGATTGTGCCGATGTATCATACAGAAAAAGGATCTCTACGTTATGTCGCTGGCGGTCAGAACCGTTTCCGACAAGACATCTCATTCGGGCAGCTAAACTCAGGCGTGTATGTGCTTCTCTTTGAGAAAAAATGACCCCTGGTTCTAAGCAGCAAACTAGAAAGCACTAACCTATAGAACTGACCATTCAACGTCATTTGGAACGAACACATTCCGTAAGATCTAAAATGACTGTTT